AAAAAAAAAAAAAAGAAAAGAAAAGAAAAAAGAAAAGGAAAAAAAGAAACGAAACTGTTTGTACTTGTTTGGTTAAACTATCATATTTCTTTACTTTGATTTACTTCATGCGAGCCTGTTAAACTAGTTTGCTCAGCCAGCTCGTACCACGAAGGCTAACACTAAGGCTAACCGAGGATGGGCAGTCCGGAGATTTTATAGCTAGCGCTCGTTAGCGAGCTATGGTAGACAGTCGGGACAGTTAGCGATGCTCTGGAGCTTATTAGTGAATGAGCTGTGGCGGCGAAGCAAGTGTGAACAGCCGCTAAGCTGCGGTGAGTTACCTTGACAGAGTCCACGGGGTACATCACTGTGTGCTCCAGTATACCAGCCACTGCTCCCGCTGTCATGTGGGTCGTCACGGAGACATGAGGTGGCAAGCTCTCGTAGTCGCCGTCACTGTTGAAAGGCTCCTCGTCTTTGCTTTTGTTCTGCGACATATCCAGCGTTGCCACCACACTGTCCGAGCACAACTCCATGCGTGGGGAGCTCTACCAGAAGCTCTCCCTTACCAGACAACACTCAAGAGAGGTAACGGCGGCATGGATAACCACAACATCATCACTACTGGAGTTCCAGCGCCCAGGTGACGTAACGACCGAGGGCGTGGTTTGTATTAATATGGACCACTCGCGTTTCATGTCGTTAATGTTCGGGCGGGATCTTGGCTTTAGGCGACCAATGAAAACTTTCCATGCCAGATTCTTCTCACACTCAACAGCCCCACTGTTACAATTTGTCCATCCATGCTGGAGTTCCTTCTCAGTTTTTGAATGGGTTTGACAAAAGTGCAATCTCATAGTCCAGCTTGAGTAGATAAGTAGGTGTGGCTTACCTATCAGGCAGCATATGTGCAATAACCATGAGGGAAATCGTCCTTTGTCAAAGTGAAGTTATCTAAAAGTCGTGGTCTCTCTACACCCCATATGGTGCTATCACAGAGACTAGTGGAATACATTAACACATACATTTTCACATAGTACTTGAAAAACCGACTTTAGTACACAAACAGGATCACTTATCCTTCCAGGAAATGCCACATAAATATGAAATGAACACTCATTTAACAAATAACTCTTCTTTGTATTTCACTAATTATTTGAACTGTAGTGCATGTTACATAACTCGCAATTACAGCTCGGAAACACAACTGGAGAAGCAAAAGAAGGGCGACAGCTGTATTTGTATTTGTTATTCAGCAAAAGAAACACAGAAGTGGCAGGTCTTTTTTGTTTTTTGTTTTTATCTTAAGTGATATCTTAGCTGCTGCTTTAGCGGCACTATTGCAATGTAGTGCTCATTGAACTATGACCTTTGATAACACATGCTTGCCTAACTGGAGGGAAGGAAGAAAAGCTCTTTTTTTAAAACATTATTTTAACACAAACCACCCTCACCTGCCGTTTTAAATCTGAGCATATAGATCTGCACACATCATCCGTGCTTCACGTCATGTGGATAGTCTTAAGAAATAACCTACAGTTAAAGCAGAAGCTTCAGAAAATAGTTGCTTTACACACACGCTTGAGTTCCAGTTCCCAAAAAAAAGTGTAACATTGTTGTCAAACTGTTGGACTACCTCACAGGTTCCTTCCATTTGCTTTAGTCCAAGGACCCCGCTGGAGGCCAGTTATTTAAACCCATTCCTTGTTTTTTCATTACATCTTCTACTCTTAATTATTTATATGTCTTTAGATACTGTATACCTGTCTCATGTTGCAGGACAGAAGTTTCAAATTCACTTTGATATTCCACTAGATCCCAGTGTGTGCAGCGGTTATCACTGGATTCAGCTGCTCTTAAGAGTTACTGGTCAGGCCACCCCACCCTCTGATTGACATCACAGGGAGTGATCTGAACAAGAACAACTGCTTTTTTAAAAAAATTTCTGAGCCGTTAATCAGTCACACAATAGCATTTTTAAGTAATTTGTGTTCAATCAAAACAAAAACATTGTAATCATACCTATAAAAACAAGTTAAAATATCCTATGTTACGTACTATTGACTGAAACTTAAGCTCAATGGGGAAAAGCATATCGCATCACTGAGGGTGTGTTTGTGAGGCACGGTGACATCCCAGTGACTCAGCAATATAAGAACCTTATATTCTTAAAGAGCCACTTGTTTTCAGGGTGCCGTTACAGCTGTTGTTCACATATCAGCAAGGGAAATATCATTTTCCTTGCTTTTACCACAAAAAGGTTAACATGAACAGGTAGTGTACCAATAAAAAATGAACTTTTAAAGCTACAGCTGGTTATTACAACGCTGAAGGTGGGAGACCAGAGACATGATGCAGCAACAAACAGAAAGAAAATGACTGGCCTGCCTTTTGTACTTCACAAACTGTTGCATGTAATCACGTCAGTCTTTGTTAATAACAGACTAATAATATCAACAGTATATATAATACTAATATTGAGACATGAGTTCAGTCTGAGAGGTTACTTCACAGCAAACAAACATGGGAGTTTAGAACATGTTTTGAATTCTAGCAAAAGTGGCAATGAATTTATCTTCCACTCAAAGCAACAATAAGCGAGTGCATTAGTTTATGTTACTATTGGAGTGTCTGCTGAGGACTTCAAACACCACTGAGTTTAAAAGGCACATGGCTCATTTGCTTCGTTCTCAAGACACGTCACATTGATCTTGCATTGTGTGCATAACTTTGTTTGCTTTGAAACAAATCCACAAGTGGAATATTCCCAGTGATGCAGCAGTTACAGCCATGTAACAGAGCAGATATCCAACACAACAATGCCAGACTGTGGCTTGGAAACACTATTTTTTAATGATGTATTTGCATAGCATGGTGACACAGCAGTTTCTGCAGAGGGTGGCACGAATGCCCTTCTGATGGTCCTCCTTGGGCTCTCGCTCTCTGGGGCCTCTGGATGTCAAGGCCTGGATCTCCTTCATGCCTGCTTCATGCCCTGGGGGACAGGCCTATGGCTCCCCACACCCTCTAGCACAGAGTGCCAAAGTGTGGGGCCCGCCCCCTAGGGGGGGCACAGAGCCATTGCAGGGGGGGGCGCAGGATGAAAAGGGAAACAAACAAAAAAAAAACCCAACTTGGACACTGCTAGTACAGGGCGCCCACACAAACGCAAAGCAGGAGATGAAGCATCGCTGAATATGTTTCCAAACCAACTTCATTATAAGCCAAAGACTAGAAAATATGATGAAGCATATCTTCCCTTTGGTTTCACCTGCACAAGTGCC